GAGTTTTGTAACCCCTCTCCATCCCCTCCGTGGGGGATGTTATATATGTTTATAAATCAATGTTAAATACTTGCTGATTACCGAACCGTGCGGCATGTCGTCGGTAAATACTTGTTTACCGTAGTTCACGAGCAGTCGGCGAAATAACCATTTAAAACTGAACATTTCTATAAAGCATACTGTGTACCCTTACATCGATTGACCATTGAGATTCACGCTTTTCGACCAACCAACCAATGGGAATCGTGCTCTTCGCAGAGTGACACTGCGATCCTGTCGCAGAGTGCAATAATCGAAATTCGGCGAGTCGCACAATCGCGTCGCAGAGTTAGTTTTTAGACCCCCATACATACCCAGAAGATTGGGTAAAAAAAAAAAATTTTTTTTAGTAAAAACTGAAAATTGGCTCAAATTTTGTATGTTTGTATGTTGGTTCCAAAATTAGGGTTCATTTTCAGAAATATTGATGAATTAAAGAAAAAAGTGCACAAAAATTTAGGCAAGAATGGCTGGTGGTGAAAAGATTAAAGATCCAAAATACAATGCTCACTGCTGGTATCACAGACTCTTACTGTCCTCTTAGCAAAATACAATGCTCACTGCTGGTATCACAGACTCTTACTGTCCTCTTAGCAAAATACAATGCTCACTGCTGGTATCACAGACTCTTACTGTCCTCTTAGCAAAATACAATGCTCACTGCTGGTATCACAGACTCTTACTGTCCTCTTAGCAAAATACAATGCTCACTGCTGGTATCACAGACTCTTACTGTCCTCTTAGCAAAATAAAGCTGTTTACTAAGTTGGATGAATATATGGGAGATGTGCCTCTAACGGAGGAGTGAAATTAACAGCATGCAAAGTATACATTTAAATGTGAGGTTGTACAAATAACTTTAATCATTGTTATTTTCAGAACTCAAATCCAGTTGTAACCAAATTTTGAGCCAGACAGAATTTGCATATTGCAGGTCTCGACAAACCCTAAATATCTTTCAAATCAAGAATGTTATATTATTATGGGATAGTTTTATATTCTATATGTGAATTGTTATTAGATAACTGAAAAAAACATGATGGAGTAGATTGTCAAATAACAAATTTCCATTGATTTTTATTCAGAATTTAGCATTAGGATACACAGATACGAGCCCATTTTTCAACCATGCTATTTGCTTAACGATTTTCATGACCAATTAACACAACTTTTAGATAAGAATTTCCTGAAACTTTTCTGCATTATTATTGATAATTTGCTGTTTTGAATTCCGAAGAAAGAAATTGGTACCCAAACTAGTTGGTCAAGTCTCATTTGTAGGCATTTCAAATTTTTGAATCAAAATGACAAACAAGAAAGGTTTTATCGCAATGCAGAAATTGCCTATTTCCCCTGTCCACTGTGGAATCCTGAGTTAATTGTGAAATCGAATGTAAAACAGAACAAACAAATGTCACAACATTGTAGTGACGTCAAAACAAGTGGGATTCGACAAACATGAAAGTATTTTTTAAACTATATTTAAACACATGGAAATATAACAATGAGTATCACTAAGACTTAATCTACTTTAAAAATTCCTCTTTGCACATAAAGTAACTTTCCCCACACATTTGTTTTTTAATTAAGATTTTAAAATTTATGGAAATTTGAAGTTTGTGAACTGACATGAATGTTCCTATACAGACAATAAAATAGACTGTATACAGTAAATAACATAGCAGATAAAGAATATGTATGGTAATAGTAGCTGTATTACTTGGTGTGAACAAAATCTGTACCTTATAAACATTGATTACAAAGAGATAGCAGTGAAATACCAAGTCAGACTATGTATGCATTGCTAGTGGGCCTCGTCTACACATATTTTTAACAAAGTTATGTTCTGCTCTGACATAATATTTACCTTGGAGTAATAAGATCGAAAGACAGACAAACAGGCAATACGGACAGACAGACAGACAGACAGACAGACAGACAGACAGACAGACAAATGGGCATGACAGACAGACAAATGGGCATGACAAACACATAACACAGACAGACAAATGTGCATGACAGACAGGTAGACAGACAGTGACAGACAGACAGACAGACACACACAGACAGACAGACAGACAGACACACACAGACAGACAGACAGACAGACAGACAGACAGACAGACACACACAGACAGACAGACACACAGACACACAGACAGACAGACAGACAGAGGGTGCACTTCGAAAGACTGCATACAGTCAAAAAGGTTATATCTGAACATTGACAGTAGACTACTGGTATTTGACAATACGAAATAATAATGAAACTAAGCATGGTAGCTAGCAGCAATACAGTGAATGATAACTGATAAATGACAACAAGTTTGTTTCGTATAATTTATATTTGACATCATGGCCTGCAATGTATCAAACATCTCTGGTTAGTGAGACTGTTAATGGGTGAAGGGGAAAGCCAATAAAAGATAAATATATAATGCAAGTACATTACATAATATAATGTTTACCTATATTATTATGGATATAATATCACAAACTGCTGCTCTGTTGTTAGCAGTGATGGGGAAAAGAAAGAAAAGCAAATGAGAATACACTATGGTGGTTAGTAATATAATGAATATGTGACAGCAATATAAAACAAATAGCTACCCAAGTAGAGGTCAATATTTAGTTTTAATGACCTGAAGGATTGACTGAGGCACAGCCAGGTGAATAATTTATCTGAGGGTCATTAAAACCGATTATCATCAATACTGAGGTAACTATGTGTTTTATTATACCAAATAAATTTATACAATATATATTGAACGTGTGGTCAGTTGCAGACACCATTTATGCTGAAAAACAAAATCATGGCCACTGGATTTTCATTATTGAATTTCATTAACCGCCACGTAACTGTGTTCTGACCAATCAAAATGACGATATTACACATGAGGTATAACATGTCATTATAAACTGATATTATAACTGATCGAAAAAAGTAATGATTTCGTCATACAATAATGTATATTTACCTCATTTATATAGTACTCATACAGCTGACATGTGACAGAGATATCTGTATATGTACCTCATTTATATAGTACTCATACAGCTGACATGTGACAGAGATATCTGTATATTTACCTCATTTATATAGTACTCATACAGCTGACATGTGACAGAGATATCTGTATATGTACCTCATTTATATAGTACTCATACAGCTGACATGTGACAGAGATATCTGTATAGTTACCTCATTTATATAGTACTCATACAGCTGACATGTGACAGAGATATCTGTATATGTACCTCATTTATATAGTACTCATACAGCTGACATGTGACAGAGATATCTGTATATGTACCTCATTTATATAGTACTCATACAGCTGACATGTGAGAGATATCTGTATATGTACCTCATTTATATAGTACTCATACAGCTGACATGTGACAGAGATATCTGTATATGTACCTCATTTATATAGTACTCATACAGCTGACATGTGACAGAGATATCTGTATATTTACCTCATTTATATAGTACTCATACAGCTGACATGTGACAGAGATATCTGTATATTTACCTCATTTATATAGTACTCATACAGCTGACATGTGACAGAGATATCTGTATATTTGTTTGTCATTCCCGAATACATGTTGTAGCCATGCAACTAACATTTGATACAAATAAATGTAAATTTCATACAAGATGTGGTAATAAAAAAATACATGTAATCATGCAAGGTGATGAAAGTTGGAATAAAACTAACTTTAAATAAAAATAGATAGTTAGGGTTCTTTGATTGCATTGGTGTCACAAGTAGTCTACAATGTGCATGGACACTATATAGAATATGGAGAATACAATAAATGTTCATAAATCAGTGATGCTTAAGTTTTATCAGTTTAACCTAAACTTGACATTTGCATCTAGAATAGATACTAATTTAGAAGAGAAATTTGCATGTACATGTGTATAGCATTTGTTTTTCTATGTTAGTTTTTCATGACAGACATATTTCTGTGAGGAGAGTATGAAACATGTGCTGTTGAATTATGAGAAAATTGAACATTTCCCATAATGAAAATGTAACACTACCAGCTGATAGATTTGGATATATATAGTACTCTTTTACAGCATTACATTTCACATCAAAATATTAGTGCAGCATTTTGCAGATTTTACATACTTTCCCATAATTTCTTTTAATTGGTAATTTTGTAGCAATTGGGCAGTTTCTCATTTGATCAGATTTTGATAACAAATTTCATTTTCAAGATGTCGTTGATGCATGCAAAAACATAATCAAGATGGTCAATTAAGAAATTTGTCACTTGACAAACTTTAAAGGACGATCTTCATTTTGCCATGTTGTGTTCGATATGGGACCCATATTGACTTATACAACATGTGAGAAATACATTGTTTGTTTACATGAAATTTGAACATGTGATGACCACCATGCTTTAATTGTTTTCAACCAGATTTATATAATCAACATTAATGAGTGTGAGAAAATGTGAATAAACTTACCAAATTAGAATTTTCCACCATTGATTCTTTGGATTTTTCTTCTTTGACAGGGCCTAGATAGTGGTGACTATACTTTGAAGGACTGGGACTAATAGATTTAGGACTACTTGTGTACATGGCCATTCCAGGACTGCCTGGGTGAATCAAACTCCCAGCTGATCCATACATCAACTGACCATCATATGCCTCAGATTTACTCCTTCCACGGAAAAAGGAGAAGAGCTCCGGGTTCGGCTGTGGATTATGTAGCGTGTATGATGGTAGAGTTGCTGATTGCTGACTGGAATTCAAATAGCTGTAGAGACTTTCGGATCGGGGCATCTAGAGCGGTGTTAAAAGAAAAATCCATACAAGGGCAACTGAATTACAATAATCATGCATGATATACAAATTAAATGAAATAAAAAAAAAAAAAGAATATGAAATTACAAAAGGTGTTGGGAATTTAAAAGATTAGTGCATTATTGTGAGAATGAAAAAGGAAAAGAATTTAGACAGGAAAAATAAATTATACAAAGTCACAGGAAAGCAAGAGAGGGAAAGAAAAGAAAAAAGAAAGTATGTTAGTACCTCCTCCTTCTCACCTTGGAATGAAAACATCAATAATAATATTCTTGCATAGGGAGAAGTTCACCGGGCTGATGAGGACGGCTATATCTAGGAAGGGATCGTCTAGCCAGATGAGGACTAGACCTAGGACTAGATCGAGGTCTGGAAAGACTCCAATAACGGAAAGTATTGTCATCAAACATGGGACCAGATACCTTAGATATGAAGTGAAGGATATACATGCTATAACAGAAGAGTCTGTCACAGAGAGGAAAATAGAGTTGAAACACATCCATCCATCCATCCACTAACAATCATGTGTATCCTAAAATAATATTATATGTTTTACATTTTATTTTTCATGGAAACCTTTTTTTCATCATAAAACTTTATACTTCAAATTTGGGCTTTGAGCATATACTGTAAAATGACTAATTTTCACTGAATTTAAATTTTGCTGATTTACGATTTCAGGCATATTCAGTGGGTTAGATAATGTGTTCTATGCTAAATTTTACATATTCACTGGGTTTTAATTTAGTGCATTTTCCAATACGCCAAATAAGCAGAATTAAAACCCAGTGAATAGTTAACCCCTTTACAGTATCTGACTTTTTTTATAAACCTTTTAATAGCAAAATATTTTTAATACTAAATCTTATTTTTCTTCTGCATCAACTGAAATAATCCCTACATACATTTCAATTTTACACTTCGTTCTTATTCAGTTTGAACAGGCCAATACTAGAGTGTAGTTTAGTATATAAAAAAGTGAAACAAATTTATAAACTATCTTTAGTCCTGCAAGATTAAAAACTTGTGTGCCATCATGAAGCTGAAAATTTTAAGTAAGAGATTCCCAATTGAGGACATTACCAGAACAAACAATGTGACAACTAATATGTAAATTATGATGTGACTTGAGAAGTTAAAGTGCCTGTGAAATGGCTGCTATTTTCACGCCTAAAATTATCAATTGGTACATAAATATTGTTAATTTTTAAGTTTCTAAGCATGAATTATTTTTTTTTAGTGAAAAAATGTGTTTTAAACTCAGTCTATGGCAACTTTATTTTTGTGTATTTTAAAACGAGGCTCCTCATTAGCTTCTCATTTGCATACATAAATTCCCCTTGTGACGTCAGAAGGGGAAGTCGCATGGCAGCTTGCATTGCCGATACGTGTAAATAAGGCAAATTTCTTGTGCAGTTTTCTCGTCTTTGACTATATTGTCACTTATGTACTTGTTCGTCGAGGAAGAATGGGCCATAATGAACACATAGTATCAATTGTTGTTGCATGAGGTTGAGTTAGATGCGAAATATGTCCGTTCTGGTGTAGCTGGCACCGTGATCATTACTGACACCGGCGGACGTTTGTACACTGTTGCTGGACAAAATAGAATTTGACGTCGGAATTATCTCGTTATTTAGCAGGTTACTCAGCACGTCACTACACTGTTTTATTTCATCGATCGTCTGAGTAAAACTTTCAAAATTAAAATAAAAGAGAACATATTTTGACATTCTAAACATTAGACGATAGTGATCACTATAAAATAATTAAAAAAACGACAAATCA